GCGATATGTGCTGTGCCGCCTGTTGTGCTTGGATCCTGGGGTTTGCTCAATGGATTAAAGGTAAGATTTTAACTTATTTTTTAACCATTTTCTTTCAGATGAAAGTGGATGTTGTGGACTTACTGATTTATTTGGGAATGCTGAGTAATAAATCTCAGGCATGTGTCTATTTTATTTGCGTACATACCACACAATTGTCGTTGAATCTATTTTAGCTTCAATCTTCAACTTTGTTTTATTCAATAGTACTTTCTGAGTAGCTTTTTGTGTTTGAATGCTTGAAGAGGATACCATGCTGATGCAATGAGTTGAGGTTCTGAAGATCGTCTAACCATGATCATATTAATACTGTCATGAATTTAAAATTCCAGAAGTAAAGGAATATTTAGCTCAAGGAGAGAGTGGAGCTTGCCAAAATGTTTCAATTGTCAAAAAGCGTGGTTGGATCTTTGATGTGATTGTATGGCAATTAGAGATATGTTTGGCTTGTGTTATTATTCAAAAGATGTGTTTGGCTTTTTGAAGTTAGTTTGAAGAAAAAGTTTGGTGGTTCTTCTCTTTTCTCTCATAATTTTCATTTGTATAGTTGTTAGAATCATATGATCAATTATTCAGATTCTCATGCTTAATAAAAAATTGATGGGAAAATAATGATCATTTATTCGCAAATAACTGCAAATCAGTTATTTTCCAAACGCAGAAACCAAACAGCTTATTCAGAACAGGGGCAGATTGGTCATTTATCCAGAATCAACTGTTTTCCAAACGCACAAACCTAACAACCAGTCAGCTTATCCGGATTAGCTGGTCATCAACAGATTATCAGGATAAACTGCTTATCAACATAAGCTGGTTAAGCTGCAGCTTCCCCAAGCAGAGCCTAAATGTCACCGTATCATTGATCATGCTCTTGCCATATTATTACCAAGTCATTGTAATACATAGTAAAACTGTGATTATTTTGTTTGGATTTTCAAAGTTGAGTTTTCAACTCAAAAATTTGTGAAGAATTCTTCAAACTTAAGTATAGATCTCAAAAGAACTCATAGGTATCTTGAGCAATGAAAAGCAATAGATGAGACCTTCCTTTGATACGTTCAATGGAGTTGATGAACCACACCATAATTAGAGAATTTTTGGATTTTAGTTTTCAATGCTAAGTTTTGAAATTTCTTCGATTAAATACCCATATTTGCCTCTCCAGTTAATCATCAATTTTATTGATTGGACCAACTTGAGATAAGTTGATAAATTCTAGGCAGATATTTGACTGGTACAACAATGAGAGGAGTTGTAGTGTGAGGTGAGATGGTTTTAGAATTATTGGTATTGATCGATGTGATAGTATTTTTTTGAATTCCCGTCATTATTGCTGATTTGTACGACATTCTCAGAATTTGAGAATAGCAGCACGAGTGCAGTGGCTACCTCAAGGGAAAAAGAAGCATGCCTAGCTTAAGATATTGACTTGGCCTGCACAATTTCAACCCAGCTATCGATGCTAGAGGATGGACAAGGAACGAAGATCGAATTGGAGTCTTGAATAAGACGATATTAACTCTCTGAATATCATGATCCAGTCATTGCCTTCTTAACTAGCTTTAATCACAACTGTAATGGTGGGGGTCGGTCATGAAGACGATGGTATTGGCCGAACTCGGGAAGGGCAGGAGCGGAGCGAAGGCTTCTTGCAAGAGCAAAACTCTCAAGTGACCATATTAATGGGATTAGATCGTAGTTTTAAAGGAAAAAGTTAACTCTGATACCACGTCGGTTTTGGGATGGGAAAAATAATTATTCCTCTTCAATTCTATAAGAAATGATTACAAGATAAGTAGATGGAGATGACTTTGACATTAGGAAAATAATAAACCATAACTCTCTATGATAAAAGATGGAAATAAAAATTATAACATACCAGAAATTCTAAATTCTAAAAATAGAAAATACTAAAATAGAAGATACTAAGATTAAAATCTTCCTAAAATTCAAACACTCATGTAACTTATATATTGTCATATTTAATTGATATAAATTAACTAAACTAATTCAAAATTTCATAGCTTGTTAATTAACTCATTACTACTGTCTCAAAAAATGTCATTTTGATATATTTCATTTCATCAAATCCTGGCCTAGTCCACTGTCATAATAATTGCTGATAAAGATTGATCATCCTGACTTCGCACTTCCTGGCCTCTTGATACCAATAGGCTTACTCTAATCTTAATATTAATAGTTGAGAATTCAATCATTTCCCTATCCAAGGTTTATCTCATCAGACTACTGTCTTTCACGGTGCATATCAAGAGTTGCGAATTCAATCGTTTCCTTATCCAAGGTTCATCTATCTCATCAGACTACTGTCTTTAGCTGTCCAGGTTATTAGTATGGTTTTTTACCTATCATAATACCCATGATGCTCTCTTGAGCATTTTTATTTTTGATATTTTTTATATACATTTATTTTTTAATTAGGTGTAACTACAAGATCAATTTAGTAAGATGTACGAGACATTTAATGACAGATAATAACTAATATTTGTAATAAGCATTTCATCTCTGTAAATATGTTGTAAAGCTAGAAGTAACATGTGTCAACTAAATCAAACATGCACGATATATCCGAAGCTCTAAATTTACTTAAAAATACTAGCAAAACTTTAATGCTATAAAAATAACTCCCTATTTTAGCAATTGTAACTCTCAACTGAGTCTTCAGGTCGGTCACAAAGAATTTCTCTTGGTTTTCTTCGTGTTCCTTTCCTTACATAAACAGTCTAACAATAATTAATTTCATTAAATTGCATGAAATGTTAAACTCAATTTAATTTAATACAAATAACTATTTTTTGAAGTTTTGCCTCAAAATCACTCATAAATTTTTATTCCTCTCCCTTATTCTTTTAATTCTCCTACCGTCCTTTGGCCAACAAAAATTATGCTTTCTTTTGTATCAGATGCGGTTTGGAACAATTAGATAGGAATAAGAGGAGTTATTTAGATTTAAGGGGAATAAATATAGGCATTAAGATAATTATATCTACCTTAATTGCTTAACCCTCCCACCTCTAAATTCTCCACAAACGCACAAGTTTTTTCCATCCATACAGCCTACCCGAATGCAGTTTCCAATTTTTGGCTGATGTTTACATTAAAACAACGAGATAAAGAGGGTTTTATTAATTTAAAAGATATTAAAATCAGCTTTTACCCTTAATCAACTATTTATAAAACTATATTATTAAAATCAGGTATTATACTTAATCACCTATGTATGCAAGTATTTTTCCTCTGAACTTATGAAAATTTTCGCCGATATCTTCGAAATTTCACCTCCATCTGGCTTCAGTCTCCCGCTAAAGTGCCCAATAGCGGAAACAGAAAGCAGCGAAGCAATGGAGGGCTGTTGGTTAATTTTTATATTTATAATTAATTTAATTAAATCCCTACCCTTCTATTTAATCCAGCATTGCATATGCCACCAAGTGGGATTTGCTACTATGCTCACAGTGATTTATTAGGGAAAACAGAAAAAAAATTAAATGAATTTAACTGATTTATTAATTATTCTTATGAATTTTATAAAAATAGTTTGAATGGATTTTGAAGGTTAGAAAAGTGGAGTATTCAAAAATAAATGAAATGTCTTTGTTTCGCCAATTTTGGATATTACACCCACCTCGGCGTGTATTTGAAAATTATGATTTTCAATGAAGTTTGAATTAAATATAATGTATATATGCTGAGTGACCTTTTAAGTTGATTTGAGCCAACCTATTAATTTCTTATAAATAATTGCTCTGAATTCAAATATGATGCACATTTACTTCTTGATATGCAAGCACACATTCATATATTAATTTTTAGGGAAGTTATATTAACATATGCGGGTATGAATCATAATAACGTGTTTAAATTTAGGTTTATAGATGCATTCATGTGTACTGGTTTTTTATTAATGATTACAGATATTCATGAGAACTGGTTTTTTATTAATCTGTACAATGAGATGCCAACAACAAGAGGTGATTTAGTATTTTGATAAATCATATCTTCTGTTCTTAGTAGATTATTCAAATAATCAGAATATCACTCATTAGAGTCCATTGCTCAAGAATCTTTTGAGGAATTGATCATGATTTATTGAATCCTCTGATCTTGTCATGAGATATATTGTATATTTTTTAATAAATGTTGCACACACACACACACACATACATACATTCAATTTCTAGTTGAACTAAATCAAATTCTTGCATGCCCTTTTGAATAAAAGAAAATTGTTACCAATTAATATTTTTTTGTCATGGAGTAATTTTCAAACTTTCAGACATCATTATAAGCCTTAGTTGTTTACAACCAGAATTTTCTCATTATGAATATAACACCTTGATGGGTAAAATTCGCCAGAGTTGGCAAGCGGCATATTTGAAGGTGGTTGACATAGGAGTGAACAAGAAAGATTTCAGCTGCTCGTACGCTGAGCTAACACTTTCCAGTTTCAACATGTTCATTCAATAGGTGTTTACTCTTTAGTAATTAAGGAAAGGGGCATTCACATACATGTCGCATAATTTTTATGTATTTACACATCAAGCACCTAAAGCTTCATATTTACCTGAATGATGCTCAAATGTATAACATCAACAAAATATTACAACTACTTCAAAAGTGAAGTTCACCTTTTTCATGCATAGCTTTATGTCATATATGTAAATATGAAAGTTTAGGTGTTTAAGAATGTAAATACATGAGAATTTTGTGGTCTGCATGTAAATCTCCCTCAACAAAATTTACCATTCCATTTGATTTTCTTGAAGCAGAAATGTGTTCCTTCATCAGTTTCATTATTAGATGCATTTGATTTTTGATGGTTAGTGCTCATGATTTGACTGATTCATCATCTGGCTGTTTTCTTCACAGTTTTCTGTCAAGAAGATATCCCTCAGCGTTTAACAAATAAGAAGTCTTTCAATCCTTTGTATCGTCTTTTGCAGGCTAGTTGCTGGCATGGATAATGCAGAAACAGTTGAGGAGTTTTATGATAAATCAAATTGGTGCATCATTCTTCGGAAGAGATGAGATGATTTCTTTTGAAAAGAACAATATTTGTGAATTACAGAGCTGTCTTCGAAATGCTTGCAATGGTTGATCCAGCTTGATTTTCCAAATCAAAGCAGTTTTTCAATCCATTGATCTTCAACATGGGTGTTTCGCCCAGAGAATTCACTAGCTGATAAGACCCTCCCGAGAAAACTATCCAGTACGGTGCTTTCTGGTCTGCTCTTTTGGCGGTTGATTGTGTTATTGAATGTCGTCCAGGAAATGTCCAAGTCTTGAGTGTCAGCTTTTGTAATTTTCAGATTGAACTTATTATATGTATATGTTTTATAGAAAAGTTTGCGGTTCTACTCTGAAAACTTGCTTGTGTTATTGAATGAGTAATGAGAAGAGACCATGGGCAGTGATGGTCAAAATTTCTCCTCTTTTCTTTTATACTATAAAATTTAAACTTTTGGAGTGTAACTATTCGCCCACTTCAAAATTTTCACCGCCTTGCCTTTTTTTTTTAAAATTATTATTAAAATATTAAAATTCATAACAGAAGCACAAATTGTTGTATTTTGTTCTGATTACCTGGGTTAGAGAAAGTGAGGGGAAATGGAAACAACAAAATAAAGAGAAGATAAAGGAAAAATGCTTGAAAATATTACTAATTTGAAAAGATTAAGAAAGCTTGCTTTTCAGTTATATCTTGAAATAGATCTTCTTATTTTAAGTTTGACTTCGTTTAGTTTTGCAGTCGCCATGCAAAAAATAATAAGACCATTTTGAGTAGCTCTGGACAGTTGAATTTTTTGTCCGTTTGGTGATTTACTCGGTGTTTTTTGTGCGTTTGTTAGTATTCATTGGCTCAAATGTCAGAATTGGCCCAACGCATTGATAAAAGTTGTATTGTCACTTGACATATTTTCGGTGCAATGGAAATCAAATATGTATTTGTAATTCTCTTTTTATCTTTTCTCTTTAAAGGTTATGTATGCAAAAAAAAAAAAAAAAAAAAAAGGAAAAAGAAAAAAGAATGATATATTAATTAATTTAGTAATAAAGATCCTTAATTATACATCTCCTATTCATGATGTTGATGCGTATGTGGCCTCTTTGTTTTCTGCACCGCTGCTATTGGTAACTAGGGATTGAAAGGTCCTGTTCCCATCAACTGATTAATTCATCTCTTTTCTCTCTTTCTTGTTTGGTTGTGTTTTCTATGAGAAATGGATGTTCCTACTAAGAAGATCAACCTTCCTCGATCTAGTTGTTGCTTTGTTTGGTAAAGACAGAACAAAGAGTGTTAGGTGAAGAAAAAGAAGATAGAAGTTTGAGTTGACGGAGAAAAGGTTGAACCTCCCAAGGTGGGTGATGCATGTAAAATTTGATGTTGTGATATATTATATTTTTTACACTTTTGGTGTGAGTTTTATGTTTTTTTGTTTGTATATTTTGTATATATGTGTAGTCTACAACGAAAATTTAGCACGTGGGGGAATATTTAGCCACTTAAATACTAATCCTCAATAGTAGGAGGAAGTGCCATGGCGCAGGAATGAAAACACCACAATGCCATATACGGGAGCCTCAGTGTAAAAAGAGGACATTTTTTAGCCAAAAACTCGAGAGCATGATTCTTATAAATCCAAAAGCCAGCGTTGCAGCGCCATTGAGCAATGCCCCAACAATTTGAAGATAAGACTTCATGAAAGGAAACACTAGGACCCAACTCCACCATACCATACGAAAATACCCTAATGCTACATTAGCAGTCCCTTGACTCTCTATGCCGACATAGGGTAGTTTTGCAGTTGGCATTTCTTCGGAGCAAAATATTTTTCTCTGTCGACATAGGGTAGTTTTGCAATTTGCATTTCAATGGAGAAAAATGATTCATATAGCTGACCCCACATAGTGGGATTAAGCCTTTGTTGTTGTTGTTGTATGGTTTTTCTATTTTTTACTTGTAAACTTGGTTTCAATTGTTAATTCAATTCATGTTTTTGTTTCAAATCGTGTTTTAACACTTAAAATTTTCTCTTCTTTGGATTGGGTTTCTTTAAAATCTAAAGAAACTCATGTTAAATTTTTGAAATTTAAATGACTTTGTTAATGTTTTAATTTTGCATGCTTAATTGGCATTAATTAGCCAATTTAATTGTTAAAAACCATTGTAGTCCTGGGCTATCAACAAAATACTAGATGCATAACTAGAAATAAGAATATTGTTATTTGACATTTGCAATCGTTTTGCGGAATGTGAATGCCTTAGATCTTTTACAGGGTTAATAAAACTTTATTATAATAAGAAAGTCTATTGTTTGTTAACCTTAGAAGAGAATAAGATGTATTAGGCCTTGATTGTTAACTGCAATTAAAAAATTACTTTGCAAAACTAAAGTTTTATTGAAACAATTTATGGAAACTTTTCAAACTAGGAAAAAAATTAATTCACATTAGTCTTTTGACTTTAAAAATAAGATTTAGAAACTTTTCAAAAATTCAAATATCAAAACTTTTTGAACTAAAATTAGGATTAATAAACTAGTAATTAAACTACTTAGAAAAATAATAAATTTCATATGAAATAGACACTTGAACAAAAAATGCTTATTCTAGTTGATTGATACATATACTTCCTTGGTTAATTTGTGCGTCACCACAACATGGATTAGTGGGAATTCTACTTTCTATTGTTTAAGCCATCGAACTAGTTGAGGCGTCGCATGAGACCTTTGGTGTAGTGCCTTAGGCCATCGTACCAGATACCACAACATATACCATTATGGATACTATTATAGTGCTTTCGTCCTCACCTAATGTAATCTCTTTTTTTTAGATTAAAAAAGTGTTTTAGCATATTATTCTTTTTCTTTGAGCAAGTATAAGATGAATGTTTTCTACTTCGTAAAGAGAGATCCCGGGAATACTCTCATTGATACTTACCTTATGTATTTGAAAATAAGTATTTAAGAAAAAGCTATCATCCTATCTTGAAGAAAAGGTGGTGGGTTAGAAAAATTCCTACCACTACGCCTCTTGAGACCCCAAATCCAATTTCAAAGGCTGTAGCCTTGGTTTTGGAGGGATTCATCCCTCCAATTGATCTTATCTCTAATCCGCCTCAAGTAGACCCCAAGGTAGGGACTGAGAAATATCTTAGGGATAATTCTTTTGGTAGGCATTCTGATTTGCAAGAGTACTTCCTCGAAGAGGATAACCTCCTCGGTGAGGAAATGTAGGATTTTGAGATTACCACTCACCATGTGATGATAGTGACCATGCATGCTCAAAGGTCTGTCATCGATGATCCTGCCCTTGATCTTGTTGAGGTTGATCATCATGAGATTACCGAGACTCACAATTTCCTCACAATTGTTCAGGAGGGTCAAATAAAAATTTGATCATTAATCTCTTATAAATCCAGATTGCTTTTCTGACAGCCCATGTAGCAGGTTTTCAGGTCGACGAGGAGCATTCCCTTGTAGTCTCACCTCTTACTTATGTCAAGGCACATCCAACCTCTCTTATTGTACCTTTCATGTCTGTCAGGCATATTATTGTGTTATCTTTTAACGATACTAAGCTTGAGCATGTTACTTTTGAAATGCACTTGTAGTCCCTACTAGATGAAAAAGGTTAAAGCTGCTTTTGCACCTCAGTAGGGGGAGACCATCGTAAGAAAAGGAAGAGCTTAACTTGATACCTATGAGTACATTTCATATCCTTTAGGGTTTTTCACTCTATGATTCAAAATATTTTATCGTCACACGTTGTTAACATTTTGCTCAATTTAGAGCACTTCGTTGCAACATTAACAATAATGATATGATGTTGCTACACCTTTTTATCACTTCTTTGTCAGAGTTTACTTTTGATATGCTGACTTGACAAACAACGTCTTCAAAATATTCTCCAAGCTAAAGGAAGTGTTTGTTTAGCGCTTTGTCGAGGTGCATCGTCAGGTCATCATTAGTGATTTGACGCTAGCCTAACAAAATCCCAATAAATTCTTATTGGACTTCATTATTTAGTGGTAGAATTTGACCATTAAATATGAGCCACAACTATGAGCCACAAGTTAAAGAGCAGCATACTATTACATTTCTCATGGGCAAGATTGAAGGCCCTATTTCAGTCTTTTTAGAAAAGACATCAATCAAGTCTTTTAAACCTTTGATTAAAAAAGTGGGTAGCCTTCAAGATACCCCAAAACCTTTAGTCTTTATGAATGATCATGCTAAGGCCAAAGGGAAAAAAGCCTTTCATGTTTTTGTCAAAGAGGGTGAAAGAGAACTTAGCATTGACGACATCAAATAATTGGAATGAAACACCTATCAGGTCTACAGAGCCAGTTTGCAGTTTTCCCACCTTCTTGGAAGTAGAAAACCCAATTCAATAAGCAAAGAAAATCCAAGATGTATTCTCCTAAAAAGGAATGACTTAGGAATATCTTTAAGAACATGATCAATTAGAGAATGCAACTACCTCCACCTTAGAGATCTGAAGAGGTAGAGAAGTTTAAAGAGCCCAACTATTTCCCTTACCACAGGAATTTAAGGCATGTGCTTGAGGATTGAATCTCATTCAAGGATTGGCTTGAATTCCGTCACAAGACCAAAGAGATTGATATCCTAGAGAAATACTTGTAGAAGCTATTCGGATGAGGATTAACCAAAGTCATTGTGGCAACTCTGGTTACTAATATACTTGAGGTTGCATTTTATTTAATTTATGATGCAAATGTAAGTGCAGGATAGGATTTTAGGATTTGTTCTGGAAAACTTTATAATTTTGGTAAATTAAAGAAAGGGAATCCTTTTTCTTAATCTTATGTGTCATAGAATTTTATAATTGAATCCTATGAGCTTGATGATGTTGATGATAATGATAATCAATGAGAGGGGCAGTACCCATTATTACCCTCCTTCAGTGGTACATATCACATATGTGATGATTTAAGTCCTCTTCTCACGAAAGCACTAATAATGATACAATGGTTGAGTGTTCCACTAGGGTTGATCCCTTTGGGTCCCTTAATTAGAATATCCGACAAGTGCATTTAAGAATTGACAAATTTTTTCATATGAGGATGGCTAGATCTGCTCTAAAGGAGAAGGGGAAAGATATCATTACCCAAGAGGTAGATGATCATCCCAATGTTCTTAATCAAAATAAAGAAACTAAAGATGTTTCTAGTAAGGTAGATTATAATGTACTGACACACCTTAAAAGGTTGCAGCTCCTTTGAGCATATATAATGCACTCCTTTTGTCCTATGAGTTGAGAGAGACTTTAGTGAGAGCTCTTCAAGAGCCTAAATTTTTTATGCTTATTATGTTGAGAGAATTAAGGAGTTTGTTATACCGCAAAACATAGTTACTATCACCTTTTCTAAGGAAGACTTCTTAATGGCCACTACATATCATAACCATCCATTTTATATG